GCTTCTTGGTATCTCTAGGGAAAAGCTCTCTTCATCTCTGAACTGGGCAGGTGTGTGAACTGCCTAGTTTCTTCCACTGCTTCTACTCAGATCTTCAGAGCAGCTGGTTTCCTACCAATCCCATCTTATTGCCTTTGTATTTAGGGGAAAATTGCACCTATTTTTGCACCTTGCCATTTTAACGTGACATCTGAATAATGTCTGCGCTGGTGACACATAGCCACATGACAGAGGAAATTCTGAATTTAGGTTATTGTGGCATGACTCACTATCTGTCTTTACCTGATACTAAAAATACCTGTTAGAAATTTTTCTCATTCACTTCCTCTGGACAAAAGGTGTTGTTCTGATGCCTTGTCTAACGCTGCTCTGGCAACTCAGACATGGAAGAGAAATATGGCAGGAGAGCTTCATAAATCCTAATACTAAAAGCACATCTAGTATGAGCAGTTATGTGTTGGGTGAGTAAAGTATTTGAATGAGAAACCTCAGGGAAGAAACCCAAGCACTGAAAAAACCTGATGGTGATTAAGCTAGTGGGTTTCTTTCTCCTGAGCCTAAATAATGATGCTAGATGCCGAGGGTAACCAAAGACAGTTAAGCTTGCTTTAGCACATGGCAATGAACTCGCAAAAGATGGGGCATGGCCAGGTATTCTGCTTGGCACCAGCTTCCAACAACTCGTACGTGGTGACGTCTGGCAGCTTATGTGGAGGTCCCAGATGCCCTGAGACACCTCAAACAGCACCAGGTACCGTACCTTAAGCAGGAATAGCAGGAATTCCACCTGTCTTGTGGCTCAGATCACGAGGAGTGGCTTCCAGGTCTCAGAAAACTTAGCAAACTTAATTTTGGGAGCACACCAGAAGATGCAATAGTTACTTTTTAATGTTTTTGTTTCACAGGTGTCTATCATCTGAGTTCACTAGTCTCCTCTTAATTCCAAGGGCGTGTGTCCATCCACTACATAATAATATTTGCTAACAAATTGCCAGAAAAGCTGTAGGTACCAAAAATCCACTAATATGGGGAGAAATGTAGCTTTCCAGCCATCTTAAGAGAGCTACATGTTCTAGCAATTCTGCAACAGATAGGAGTGCTAATTCCCGCAAATGCAATTACACCGTCCTCTCTGCTTGGCCCCTTTCAAGGCATCATTTTAGTGCCTGTAAGGGCAAAGGAATGGAGTCACAGGGCAGTTTTGGGATGTAGGAGATGAGAATGGTAGGTGGGAGGTGATGAAGCTTGTGAATGAAGGAAGACGACATGGGGCTCGAAAGAGAAGGAGATGGGGCGACACAGCACCTTGTCATGGGGAAGGAGAACTGGAAGATGTGGGGAGGGAAAATGAGGAAGCAAACAAAACCACAAGAGATTTGAAGGCGGCGTGAGGGCAGTCTTAAACCAGTCCTTGCAGGAGCGTAGCCCTGGAGCAGCTGTGGAGGGATGCAGAATCCAGAGGAAGGCTGGGCTGTGCAAAACTGGGCCACCAGAGGCTACAAGGCAGGTTATGCCTAGGTGTGCTGGCCTTTCAAAGGATTTACACTTTCATATCACACCAACCCAAATGAATTGACAGACTAATTCCCAGCCAAGTGCAAACCAGCAAAAAAGCAAAGTTGATCTCCCCTAAAAATGTAAAAGTTCAGAAATCTAGTCAACAAGTAAATCCACACTGCCATTCCCTAGTTTCCTGGCTTCTTCCCATCCTTTGGCTCTTTTTATCAACCACACGGCAGGGATGTTGATATTTTAGGGGCAGACCATGCAGTTTCCTCAGGCACAAAGACTGAACAAAGTTCTAGAGATGATTCACTCCAGAGGTAATTCTGTGCGGGCAATTTGATCCAGACCTCACCAGGTCTGCTTCCTCTCTGCACAGTCTTCCTACACGATGCCAGGAGGCCCAAGTGCCATGAAATTCCCCTGCACACCCGTGTGCCACCACCTGTGGCCTCTGCAGTTTTGGAGGGTTATTTATTCTTCCCTGATGGGAGTTTAAATACAGCAATTAATTTGAACCTGTGATGCTGCTAAATGTCAAAGCACTGAGAGCTCTTCTGGGTTCAATGGCCAAACTCTAGCTTCCATTCTCACAGGGACTTCATTGAGTGTGTAGTCATTGTCACAGGTTATTATCACATCTAATGCCACAATGTCTGGCTTGATGATTAGGATGATTAGGTACAAATACCTGACCAAAACAGGAAGTTTAGGATTCAAATATAAGGCAAGAAAATACAGAAGTAATACTGATCAGCATGTTGGGTGCCTACCTGGTTTTGAAAGATGGGTAGAAGACTACTTAAAGAAAAGCATCTCTGAAGAGATACAAGATAGTTAAAGACAGTGAAGAGGAATAATGGCAATTTGAAAGATTCATGCAAGGCTCCTCCCAGTGTGAGGACTGGAACAACAATAAGCCCAAAAGCTGATGAGTTTGATATCAGATATGTTGGTGAGGAATCCTAGCATGGGACAAGAAGCCAATGGTTTGAAAGGATGTGATGGTCGATAAAGGGAAAGTTCTTGAAAATAGAAGTAAAATATTTGATGTGACAGTGAAACAGTTAGAAGTCAACAGAGGGAAGCAAACAGAAGCCCACAATAAGGCCTAGGAAATTCATCTTTCCAAATGCTTCCAAATGCATACAAGCTCAGAAGAACCCTAACTTAATTTGATCATCAATTAAAACAGTTGCCCTTTATGATGAGTAGGCTAAATGCTGTGGGTTTTCTTAAGAAGAGACTAAAGAGTTGTAGGTTTGAGAGCCTTGTGCTGAGATTCAGATCTGCAGTCTGCTTCAAAGAGACTTTTGAAGTCTTGAGGGAAACATGCTTTTAGCTTTCAGGGAAAGTGAGAGTACATGATCTCAACTTGCTGCTAATCTGATAACTCTTTAATTTTAATCACCCTGACAGTCTGTGGTAAACCATGTGGTTAACTATTTCGGGTACAGTCGCTTTTCTCAAAGCCACAGTCTGGTGTAGTTTACAAGGCGAATCCTTTGATAACACAAAGACACAAGGGGATTAAAATATCCCTTACACAGCTTAAGCTGTTAAGCTGCTCAGGATGCTTTTCGTTGTTGCCTTCCTCAAACTTTGTGACTTTTGCTAGGCGGCAAGATAGTGAAAAGTAGAAAGGGCAGAAAATATCAAAGCAAGAAAATGATGGGTGGCTCTGGAAGAAAAGGGCACTGCAGGACTGGGTCTGGGAGTCGCTGATTGGGTTGCTGTTGGCAAGGCATGGCTTTGTTTCAAGGAGAAGGCACTTTGGGAGTCAAGGGCAGATGCCAAATGATGAACAGCTATCAGGGATTCAAGGCCCTTTTGCAGTCATTCTTGCTAGTTCCTAAGGCTGCATTAATTACGGCTGCAGAAAATGTGAAGACACAATGACTAAGAAACTTGTAATCGCTGTCATTATTATGCATAAGCATAAAGGGCCACAGAGCCTTAAATAATCATAAAGTAGTGACTTTATCAACTTCTGGGTCTCCAGCTCAGCTTCAGTGGGCTTTTCAAGAGCACTGGAATGATCTAACTTAATTCATTCCAACTGATTGGGAAATATATTTAGATGTGATTTGCTGATGACACAGCACTTCATGTCCTTGTTTTGGGACAAGTTATATTTAGGTTTGCAAACTTATTTCACAGTAAGCTGCTCTTTGGTGTGCTCAGACATAACTGAGAGTCTACAGTCTGAAGAAGAAGAGGCTGAGGGGAGACACTGAGAGTCTACAGTCTGAAGAAGAGGAGGCTGAGGGGAGACCTTATCGCGCTCTATAACTACCTGAAGGGAGGGTGTAGAGAAGTGGGGGTTGGTCTCGTCTCCCAAGTCACAGGAGATAGGACAAGGGGAAATGGCCTCAAGTTGCACCAGGGGAGGTTTAGATTGGATATTAGGAAACATTTCTTCATGGAAAGGGTTATCCAGCATTGGAATAGGCTGCCCAGGGAAGTGGTTGAGGCACTATCCCTGGAGGTGTTCAAAAGGCGGGTTGACATGGTCCCCAGCAATATGGTTTAGTGATTTTTATTGCCTCTTTCTTATTTATTTTTTTGTCAGTTAGGTTGATGGTTGGACTAGATGATTTTTAAGGTCCCTTCCAACCTAGAAGATTTTATGATTCTATGATTCTACTCCCCTTTCCAATGTTTCCTTACAGATGATTGCAACTTTTAATGACTTAGACCTAGACGATTTTATGATTTTATGATTCTACTCCCCTTTCCAATGTTTTCTTACAGATGATTGCAACTTTTAATGACTTAGTTTTGCATATTACGCCTCACTCCATAGATTCAGGGCTGCACACTCTGGTGCAGCCAGCAGCTCTATGAGGTAACTGTGTACAGCTTCGTTAAGAAAATGTCGGTAGCGTTTCATGTTGCCCATCTGCTTGGTGCAGAAAGAAAGGGCTCAACCACCTGCTTCAGGCAGGAGAGGCAGGAGCAGGCAGATAGGCCTGGTGCCTCCCCCTACAACTCCCAGCTGCTGCAGAACATCGTTGCTCCAGCATCGTTCCCCCTCTGGAAGAAACACAAGGGACTCCAATCAGGCCCTCCTAATTAGAAGTGTAGACAAATACAGGCTTCACATCACTTGGTGGTCACTCTCCCAAGGGATCTTTCTGCATCCTGAACAAATCTATACTTATGAAATCAATGGAAACAACTAACTCCAATGTGCAGAAGGCTTTGGATAGTGGGATTGTTCTAAAATGAAAATAAAAATTGTTCACTTAAAATAACTAATAGTTTTATCAGACACTCAGAGCCTTTCCTTGGCTTACAGACAATCAGAGAAACAAAGTTTTGCTACCCTTATGTTCCCTTCATGACATCCAGTTTCATCCCTCAGCTGCAATTTTAGCCCTCTGGCTGGGAGCAGAATTTGTCTTACTTAACTGAGCTCCGAGCAAGACAAGAAAGCCCTTGGTGAATAAGGCAGATGCACAGGCTGTCCTGATTCTCAGGCTTTCTATTTGCAGAAGAATGCCCAGATCTTCCAAGGACCGAATTTGCTGATGTTACTGCTGAAACATATCCAGTGGGGACCAAACTGTATTATGAATGTGACAGTGGCTACAAGAGAAGACGTGGCCAGTACCCAGGAATTCAGTGTCAGAGTATACAGCAGGGTGCTTCTTGGGTCTACAAGGAATTTGAATGCATTGGTAAGTGATTATTGTGCTTTTTCTACAGTTGTAGAGGTGTTTTTCAGATGATGGGTGCTTTGTCTTTGCTCTGCTATTCGTCCTGCAATAATTCAGCAAATACAACTTTTCCCACAGATGAGAAAATTTTGTTGTCAATGGCTCCCACAAGGGAGTTAGACATTACACAGAAGCCAGAAAGAAAAACACAGAGCTCTGCACACCAGAAGCGAGGAAACCTTACAGAATTTGACCAGAAAGGTGAGTAAGAACCTATTCATTACTGTAACACTTCTTCCACTGATTTCCATGGAAGTAGTGTAAGAACAATGATTAATTTTTAATTATTTTAACAGACAGAGAGAAAAAAAATTGCTATAATATCCTGGCTGAACAAGTGATATAGTGTAAATGAGCATTTTATATCCTAACAGAGTTAGGAAGGCTTGGTATATCCTCTTGTCTGTATTTTGTAAAAATACATATCATGTTCCTTGAAAAAGCAGTAGGTAAAATTTATCTGCTTTAACCATGTGCTGTCTTGTGATCCCACAGATTTTTGTGGTCCTCCCAAGACTATTCCTCATGCCTCTTTAAGCCTGAACAAGCAGTATTATGTGGGGCAAGTATTGCATTTCAAATGCCAGAGCGGTTACGATAAGCGATCCCCCACCTCTGGCACTCGCACGTGCACGAAGGTGAATGGCAAAATCTTCTGGACCCCCCTTGACCTGCAATGCACCAATGACAGCAGCTATAATGACACGTGGCCAGGTAAGATGGTTGCTTTGGCATCAGATTGGTGTCATGACCTGTTCATGCAGGGTCCAGGCCTCCCAGCTCAACACATCAATCTTGCTTGGGGTTTGGAACGGAGACATCAGCGACTTCAGGGCTCTGACACTGATGGAGATGTCATCTCTGTCATGTCTGGGGAGGATATAGCTGCATCCTATCCTCTTGGGTGTCCTTTCATACTAACTGCAAAATTGCAGGCATTTGTGAGCAGACAGAGACACACTGTCATGTACTGGGAAGAAAATCATAGAATAAGCCTTTCTCTTTCTCTTTCTTCCTGGCAGCTATTGGTTATCTATTGTCACTTCACAGTAAGGCACTCTATAAAGGCTTTGGGTTTTAGGATCCAGAATTTAGCTGGTCCATAGCTAAACCTGAGCAATGTGGCTAAGTTCTTAATTTAATACTCAGGGTGCTGTTTTGACCAAAGAGACAGCAAGTAGCCCGCCAATATCGCACTGCAGACTTTATGAACCCAGATTGAGGAGGACTAGCACCATTGTGGTCTGGAAACTTGACTTGGCTTAGGGAGCCAGTGGGTCTGCAGAACCTCTGCCTCTTGATTTTATGCTTTCAGACATGTTAATGAAAAAGAAACACAAAAAGACCTTCATGGCCTCTACATCACCCAAATTACCTGCCTTTTCTGATAGCATCTCTCCAAACACTACAATCATTGAGTTCAATATGCAGAGAGAAAACAGAGCCCCTTTCCCAAGCTTCTGTGATAGCACTGCCGGTCTTGGCCTCTCTCTGGATGGCAAGCAGAGCTATTGTAGGTGGAAGGGCCCAGCTGTCCATCATCTCTACAGTCCTCAGGCTTTCATTACCCTTCCAACCTCCTCTGAGGTAGGGGAGTGCTGTGGGCTAGTTTTACAGAGGTAGGAGCCAGGGAAAGGTTCCCGAGAGGACTTTTCCTACCAACAGAGAGTGGAAAAAACTGTGTTCCGCCAGTAGTTGGGCCTTTAAGGGGACATTAATCTTGCAGAACTGTAGACATCTACGCATAGATGCCTACATCTGAGTTTGACTGCCTTTATAGCCATCACAAAGGAATAGGTGTTGATGTTACCTGCCCTATTTCACAAGTCTATTTTAGCCTGAGAAGAATCACACCCTTTAACGGGTTGTTTCTCCCCAGTGACTATAGCAGAGCCCAGATGATTATCTCAGAGGCCACATCTACGTAATGGTAGGTCAGATGAATGCCAACCCTTGTGACCCATCCCAGGTCATGTGGTAGAGCAGGATGCTTTGTGCAGGCCCTTTTGCCTGCAGAGTGACCTTTCAGGTGACGTTCGGCCATCGTTGCCTCTCCTTGCTGCTCTGACTGTAAGAATGAATCACCTTACTCACTAGACACGCTATTTCAGCATTAACCCAGGACCTTTTCCCCTTCTTCATAGATCCATCTGTTTCCCTGTGGTGCCCGGTTCAGATTGTTTCAGGTACAGTAGTGACAGTTTATTGTTTGGTCTTTCCTCCTCCTTCAGGACAGTCGTTTTTTTTCCATTGATAATTTCGCTTGGTGCTATGAGGATGAAAGAACTTCTTGCTATGATGGAAACAACCCATCGAATCACCAGTCCTATAAAATGATATTAAATAGTCAAAGATCACGAATATTTGGAATTTTAAAATTAGGATTATGAAAAACATGAGATTGGATGATGAAATAGGCCATCTAGGCCTTTCATTCAACACAACAATAACTCCAGTTTCCTGCAAACGTACACTGACATCTGAGCAAGGTCAGGTCTTTGCAATTAGCGCACCAAATATTTATTCCCCTAAAATGTAGCCTTTCTCTTTGTTATGATGTTATGTCTTTTATGGGGGTGGATAAGAAATATCCTCCCCTTTCTCAGTTCTTATCCCAGCATTCAGCACAAAGAGATTTATCAAGAGACCACTCTTACAAGACCTCTTGTTAAAAACCTGCCCATATCTCATAGTGGCTACAATTTAGAGCTTCCTATTCAGGTTAAGGGAGAAATTCAATGAATTTCTTGTACCAGGGAAGTTTTGGATTACATTTCTGGGGAAAAGGAGTTCCCATTTGAAGCCATCTTTCCAAATCCTAGCTTGGCATCTTGAAAGTCATCCTTCCTAATGCCACATGAAAAGAAGATCTTAGCTGGATCCCATTCCCTGGAAGATGCAGTTCACTTCATGCTCACTATTAATAGATATCAGATCAGCACATATGTTGATATCCAGGCTGGAAACATCTATTTGATGGCCAAGAAACAAACATGGCAATTATTAAGTTTGCTGCGCAGTGGGACAGCTGTCAGACCTAGCCTGACTCTACCCTCGTCACTGCTTTGTTGCTCCTCACCAGAAGAGCAAATCGATACAAAATCAAGAATTTGTCTCTCTTCGTAGGTTCGACTTATCCACCCTCTTCCTCCTCAGTGACACTGCCAGTGACAGGTATGCCATTTTGTTAATTGGACTCGGACTTGACCGATCCCCCCCCAGCACTCACATTGCCTTTCAATTTGCTGTTCTACTAAAAAGATCTATCTCTGTCATAAGAGCTAATAAATATACTTCAAGACATGTGTATGCCCATGTATTGGGTGAGAAGTCTGTAAAGTGTAAATAGAGACTGTTTAAGCACTTAAGCATTTTATAAAGAGGTTTTAAAAGACTCATAAGGGATGCAAAAGAAAATAGATTGATCAATAGTCTAGTTTTTAAATTAAGCAATTTTCAGATTCTTTCTCTGAGACTTTCTGTGAATTCAGTGAATAGCTTCAACTGGAAAAAAACAGGAAAAATGTAAACATTTAGATGATGTGTTTCTTTCATATTTTCAAAGGGGTAAAAAAAGGATGGGCGAATAAAATATTTTCTCACAGCTGAACTGATGCAGTTAGATCAGTCTGAGGAGATTTTCTTCTCCCTCTTCCTCATCTTCCATTCAATGATTAGCTGCTAAAATAGAAATTGTCTCTTACTGTGCGTATACTCAAGACTTTGTACAAGGGCTCTCGATTCCAGCTGGAGTCTGCTGACAACTGTAGCACACATTGTAATAAAGAGGAATAATGGAGTGAGATAAAGGAAGGGAAGGAGAAGTATTGCAAATTATGCCAAGCACAGCAGCATCAGTAGCCCCTGGTTATTTGGCCATGGACGCTCTCTAGTTGCCCAGGTCCTCTCTGACTGGGTCCTGTTTGCCCCAGGGAGCAAAGAAATGGGGTGACATGGAAGAACTCTTGCCTCTGAGCATAGGAGCAAGATGAGCCCCTCTCCCAGGTCTTGCCTGTTTCTCCCAGTTGGAGTAATTGCAGTAATTAAGATAACGCCAGGTGCTAACCATGTTGATTTTCTGTTTTAACAGCTGTCTTTTTGGTTCTGCTTATCATTCCTGCTGTCTTTGTGTGACTCGCCGAGTAGAGAATACAGTAAGCAGGAAGGAGCCAGGAAAATGTGGAATCTAAAAAAAAAAAAAAAAGGAAAAGCTATCAATTGGATCAGCCATCTCACTATTGCACTACTTAGATTTCTGAATACCTTCTTAGGTATGAAATGAATGACCCTGGATTTTGGGTTGCCTGGTTCAGCTACTAAATACTGGCAGAAGAAGAGGAGGAATCAGCTTTTGAAATCAAAAAGCACGCTTTGTCCCAGCCATTGTGGAACTGAGAATGGCAGTTCAAATAATGGGTGCAAAATGAATCCCATGGGGAAATTAAGGTTGATTATGCAAATATGTTGGTTTCAGATAGATTACACAATCAGTCTTCTTCTCTCCGGCTAGCCTGTGGGAAGTCTCGTGGAGCATCTGCCACCACGACCACGTAATTCTTCCTCCTTCTTCCCACTGATTTCTCATGTCATGATTTTCTGTGTCATGGCAACTTTGTACTTCAGACTTCCTCCTTATGAGGAGTCTGGCCTCCTCGCTGTTTCTATTACTACACTGAGATGCACAAAGGCTGTTCCTGTTCACACACTCCCCAGCCTACGTAATCCAAGATGTCCCTATTTGACACTTGGGAGTTCTCCTCTTCTCCTCTCCCTTTTCTAATCCTCATCCCCATTTCTCTTCACGTTCCTTACTAATTACTGATAGGCTCTGGTTCTCTGCTGAATGGGTATTTTTCTCAAAAAGGAGGAGGACCTTGTGAAACCACATCGTTGATGCTTTTTTTTAGCCAGTTCATGATAGAATAAAGCCATAGAAAGCACAGACAATGCTTTGAAACATGTTTTAGTGAAGATAGTCAGCTGTGGTGCAGATTGGCTGGGCCATTGTGGGATTTCTGAGAATATGATTGGTGAAAAATTGGCAAGAATGATCTACGTTTCACTGGCCCTGTGGTGGAACAAGTGATGAAAGAGCCAACACCAGATGGGATAGTAACTGAGATCCTAAGCGCTGTCTTCTGCAGAAAGTACTGTGTAGTTTCTCACAGTAGCTATAGAAGAAGCCATAGAAAACCTGCCTCTTCACAGTCTTTTTCCTGCTGTTAAGAAGACTTCTCGGGGAATTGTGGCATTCAGATCCAAACTTATGAAATCAATGTCTTGCCACAGAAGAAAACAGATTGCACCAGTGACTCCAAGACCAGCTGTGGTAAACAAGGAGGAAGCCTTGGACACTCAAATCCAACGTGTGAAGGAGGCAGAAAATATTATGGCTTAATTCTTATGGGGACAGAGTGACTTTCCACCTACGGAGAACGGATGGAGAGACATCATTGACAGATGGGGAAAGAGCCCTGCCTGAAACTGCTTCCCAGAAACACTTCTCCTCCTCCTACCATATAGCAGATGTATTGCTAGTAAAACTGCAGCCTCTCCCAAGCGACCAGGTGTGCATATGGACCACTCACCCAAGCACATTAGATGACAGCCCTGTCGTTACAGCCCACACACCATCTTCCCCACAAAGAGAGATACTGGACACCTGATGTCCCTCCACCCCTTTCCTACCCAGATGGTCCAAACCCGGTCACACTTTTCTCCTCCTCACACTGTTTCTTTTGGAAAAGGAAATTAAACCCGTTTACCCTCCCCACATAAGCTGAGAATCTTACTGGACTCCCTCATGGTTCCGTATACACACGCATTTTTCATCACCCTCCTCTTCCCAATTATTTTAGACTAACCCCTTCCACAACAGTTGCTACATTATTCCTCCAGCTCAGAGAAGGGTGCTGCAGTTGAATAATTTGTCAGCTCCTTTCGTAGCTGCAGAGCACCAAAGAACCAAGCTCAAAGGCATTTGAGGACAAACTCAAGCATACACAGTACTTGACATGTACCTATATTACACGATCACAGAATCACCATGGTTGGAAAGGACCTCTGAGATCATCCAGTCCAACCTCAAAAAAAAAAAAACCAACCCAAAAACAAACAACAAAAAAAAACCCAAACACAACACCTCACCACATCACACCCACCCACAAACCAATAATCTCAGGCACTAGAGCATGCCCTGAAGAGCCACATCTACACGTTTCTTAAATACCTCCAGGGATGGTGACTCCACCACCTCCCTGGGCAGGCTGTTTCAGTGCCTGACCACCCTCTCAGGAAAGTCATTCTTCCCAATATCTAATCTAAACCTCCCTTGCCGCAAGTTCAGACCATTTCCTCTGCTCCTGTCATTATACACTTGGGAGAAAAGGCCAACCCCCACCTCTCTACACCCTCCTTTCAGGTAGTTGTAGAGGGCAATGAGGTCTCCCCTCAGCCTTCTCTTCTCCAAACTAAACATGCCCAGTTCCCTCAGCCTCTCCTCATAGGACTTGTTCTCTGGACCCCTCACCAGCTTGGTCGCTCTCCTCTAGACACGCTCCAGCAGCTCAATGTCCTTCCTGTGGTGAGGGGCCCAGAACTAAACACAGTACTAGTGTATACCCACAGTATTAGTGGGTATACCCACTAGTATTAGTGGGAATTGGTGAAGTTTGACTAGTCTTGTGCCACCTTTTCGCCACGTTCAGCCTGGTAGGATGGGGTTCATCTGACAAAATGCAAGCATCTATGTCTGACAATGGGAAGAAACAAGTCCCTTTAGAAAACAGTTCATCTCACCCCATTGTCTATATATATTCCTGTATGTGAATATTTATTTATTTGTGCCACATATATATATATATATATGCGCATATATGTATATATATGCGTGTGTGTATATATATATATACACACACAGAGAGGTCTAAAGGTACCTGTTTCTCTGCATTTACTCTAAATGGTGCCCAGATTGACCAGATTAACTACAGATGTTTACATGGCATATGTCAAAAGCAAAATGGGATGAATCCCTTCCTTATAATTCAGGAGGCATGAGATCTTAGTGTAGCTTTCTATTTTTTGACAGTGTGTATGTGCCATTGCTTTACTGATTTGTATTCCAGTTGAGTTATTCTCACTCCACAGCCTTGGTATTTATACTTCCCATGGCTTTTTTTTATTCCTTTTGGAATAGGATTTATTTGTACTACATATCTTTATAAAGATGGATGTGTAATGGTCTATTACATGCGGTTATTTTGTATGGGAGCAAACAACAGTCTGTATTTACGCAATTGATGATAGGTTTTCACACCTGTCAGATGTTTCAAAGGCTGCAGGCAGTGGTACTGAGCTCTTCTGCTTCATTTGGTTGATGCACGTTACTTATTGCTAACATACCTCTGTTAAACGCTGCAGTTAGGCTGGCGAGGCTTGTCCTGCTCAAGCATTGGAGAAGGCTAAATGTTTCATCTGCTCTTAACATGCACATTTTTATGCAGATAACAAAAGCAGAGTCATATGTCTCCTATTGCTCCACTGTTTTTTCTTCCTTTCCCTAGCCAGCTTGGCTCACAGGCTCGCTCTCCACGTTTTGGCTTTGTTTCTTGGAAATTAAGGGAAACACACTGCTGGTAAGGAACCTGTAAGCAACAGTGGGTTACAGGCTGGACAACTATTATGGACTTTAATTTTTCTAGGTTTTGATGTCTACATAGAGAGTCTGAACCCAGGTCACCTCCAGCATGGGAGCTGTATATGTACTTTATGTATATATACTTTATTGGGAAGCTGTAACTCGCAGCTGAGCTGTACTTTACCTCTCGGTAGGGCTTGTTGGCTGTCTGGGAAAATGCTTGTATCTGATGCTTGAGCCTTCAACACGACAAAGAGCACATGGGAACCAGTAGGACCCAATCTTGTAGCAAAAGACCACCACTGGAGGAGGCTGTGGCCAAAGGGGCAGCATCACTGTTGTGCTTTCTTCGTGGCCACTCTCAACTTGTTTTACATGAGAAGTGCTGGTTGATATTTTTATTTTGTAGACTTTGATTTTCTCAACATGGATGTATCTAATAAACTATAACAATAAAATGTTCTGGTTGATTGAAAGGGAGCTTGTTCTTGCTCTTGATCCATTATCCAAACTTTGAAAAATACCAGATTTATTTTCCATTACCTTCTAATTTTAACCAAAGGTGTGACAAACTCAGGAACGTGTTTCAGGTAGGTTTATTCCAAAGACCTGTACTAAAGCTCACATCACACATACACTATCACAGCTAACCTTTAAAATGCAGGAGGAAACTAAAAATATTTGAGCAAAAGGATATCCAGCAACATAGTCTCCAAAAGAGCTAATGGAAGCAATTAATAGATTTTTACAATCTAAGGGCAGTGGAGCTCCTGTAGCCCTCCCCAAGGGATGGAAACACACATACTCCTGCACCATGACCAGGAAACCCAAGTGTCAGAAAATGTGTTTTTCCAGAAGTCTGCTGTGTAAGAGTCAATTTGTCCATTGCAATGAGTCATCATATGTGCCTTCATATAGGTGTGTCTGTATGTGAGCTTGTCCCATCACAGTGGAGACAAGAGAGACTTAGATATTAAATGCAGGTATCCACCCTGGTTGAACAGTTTTCCAAACCCCATGGATTACTTCAACAGGACCTCCATTGACTCTGCTGGGAGCTCACATGGCAACCCCTACAAATTGATCTGGTTGGCTAAAGATGGTATCTTAGACACCACAGGGAGTCAGAAGCGTCTGCATAGGGCTGGAAGCTGCAATACAGGACCTATGGGAGGCCTGTCCTCCTCTGCACTGGTAGCTGAAAGCCAAGCAGCACCATAGCACAGGAAATTGGGTTGGAATGGGTCCAGAAGAGGGCCGTGATGACAATCAGAGGGCTGGAGCACCTCTCCTATGAAGGCAGGCTGAGAGAGCTGGGGTTGTTCAGCCTGGAGAAGAGAAGGATCCAGGGAGTCCTTATAGCAGCCTTCCAGTACCTGAAGGGGGCCTACAGGAGAGATGGGGATGGACTCTTTATCAGGGAGTGGAGCAACAGGATGAAGGGTAATGGTTTTAAACTGAAAGGGGGGAGATTTAGATCAGATAAGAGGAAGAAATTTTTCACTCTGAGAGTGGTAAAACGGTGGCTGCCCACAGAAGCTGTGGATTCCTCATCACTGCAGGTGTTCAAGACAGGGTTGGATGGGGCTTTGAGCAACCTGGTCTAGTGGGAGGTGTTGGAACTCAATGATCTTTAAGGGCCCTTCCAACCCAAACCGTTCTATGATTGTTTGATTCTATGCTTCTATAATTCTATGATTCTATGATTTGTTTGTGCCCAGCCTGCAGAATTACCCACACATGTAAACACCTACTATAAGATGCCCCAATAAGTGAGCTGGAACCCAGCCCTAGGAGTCATGAAGACTTGCAGAATCTGTTACTCACCTCTGTAAATTCATTGCTAAAAAAACTGATAAAAATATTTCCTGCCATCATAAGACAAAATAATTTCTAAAGTTTAAATTTAAGTATTTTTTTGGGGTTGCAATGACAAATGAAAATAATAGGTGGGTAACCTATGCACAGGTACTGGTCAGTGGCCCGTGTCTTAGACAATTTAGACAGTAGCTATAAGGCAAGGTTGACAAGGAGTGCAAGGAGGCGGTGAAACAGTACAGATCAGCCTCTGAGTCACAGCCTGGGCACTGCAGCCACCTACACCTTTTCTAGATTCGTTTTTACATTTTCTGTAAGAATAACAGTGCAGCAGTGCGAATGTGTGCTCACCTGGGGAGCATAAAGGCATGTGAGCAAAGACTTCAGGACGCCAGCTCTACCAGTGATTTCAAGGTCTCTAATTCCCTAATTATTTTCTCCTCCGGTCTTTCTGCAGAAGAAATTCAGGGAATATATTCCCCAACTGAAGTTATTCCCTAACTAAGTTTCATTTTTAAATCTGCGGCATTCATGCTCATACCAAATATGATCCTTTCTGTCAAAAGACTCCAGAGGAGTCATTCCAACTGTGGGGAGGTCCATGTGGGAGGAGGGTGCAGTCCGTGGCTGCAGGGCAAAGAGCTGCTGCATAAAACGTTTAGGTCTTTTGCCAGAAACGAAACTGGTTCTTCTACCCCACCAACAGTCTCCACCTTCCCTCATCTTCGTAACACAGCCCTTTCCACCACCTGATGTACTGCTAGGACCCAGATGTGCAACTGGTCCAAGAGGTCCAGCCGGGTTGAGGGCTCCCAGAGCAACGCTCAGAACCTGGCGACCCTCAGAGAGGATCCCCCAGGGAGATGTCACCGTAGGTGTCCCCAGGAAACCTCCCACCTCCTCAGGGAAGCTGCTGGCAGCACCGCCGCAAGCTGACAAGAAAGTTGATTTCGCTCAGCAGGTCTGGGGTGGGAGGTAGGTATCAGAAACACCCTGCTTCAGCGTTTCCAGACTGAAATTCTCAGAATTTCCATTTCAAGGGGAATTTGGAAACTCTTGGGGTTTCGTTCTGATTCAGAGTGAAACCACATTTTGAAGTGACAAAATTTCCTGTGCACGAGTAGCCTTGTTTTCCAGCTTGCTCTGCTCAAAACCGGAGGTTTCTCTCTCCTCCAATTTTTAGTGTTTTTATGCTGCCCAAACTCCCTCAGTCCTTGCTAAAGTTCTGATCTAGGGCAGAGTAAGAGGAAAATAACAAAGCTGAAAGTTTTTATCGCAGAATCATAGAATCATAGAATGGTTAGGGTTGGAAGGGACCTTAAAAATCATCCAGTTCCAACTCCCCTGCCATGGGCAGGGACACCACCCACTAGACCAAGTTGCTCAAAGTCCCATCCAACCTGGTCTAGAACATGTCCAGGGATGGGGCATCCACAACTTCTCTGGGCAATCTGGGTGTCTCACCACCCTTACGGTAAATAATTTCTTTTAATATCTAGTCTAAATCTCCTCTCTTTCAGTTTAAAACCATTACCCCTCATCCTATTGCTACACTCCCTGGTAAAAAGTCCCTCTCCGTCTCTTCTATAGGCCCCCTTCAGGTACTGGAAGGCCGTTAGAAGGTCTCCCTGGATCCTTCTCTTCTCCAGGCTGAACAACGCCAACTCTCTCAGCCTGTCCTCATAGG